TAGCCAATTTTCTCTCATCCACTAAATGCTTTTTTTCTGCATGTCTCGGAAAACTAGATCTTAAATTCTCGTGCGAGGAATCCTAAAGTTGAAACGACCGAGCAGCCCTGATTCAAAACCGATTCAGGGAATGTTATTAGTGCAGACTTGCCTGTGGAGGTCTGAAACAGAGCGACTTCAAAAGCGGTTTTTCTGAATAATTTCTGCTTTTGTAAAAGGCGTATTTCTCTGGTGGGCAGCCACAAAATTTTTCAGTTTTCAAACACAAAAAGATACAAATTTTCGATTTTATAACAGCTTCCGTGCGCGTAGCGAGGTGTGTCGAGGCCTAGTTGTGCTCCCTGGCTTTGTAATGTGCACAGTCTAATTTATCATCTTGAGTGCGTGCACCTGGGGAATCTTAGGACTACAATAAACTTTCATTTGATTGCTTTGCGCATTTTTTATTATCCGCAAAATGCATTTCTGAAAATGCTAAAATGAGCTCACGTGGTTGTTGTAAGTGAAACGAGGGCGACATTTGGGTAGTCCTCGGCAGCGAACGATGATGGCAGCGTACTGCCCCAAACAAACAATGGGACGTTGTAATACTGCGCCACTGTTCGCGCTACTATTGCTGCTTAAAAGTAATTTCCATAATGTACTTGAATGCTGCTGTTGAAATTTTGCTCAAGACGGCTATTAACAAAAGAAAAAAATTTCCACGGAGTACGTCGAGAAGATGTAACTTTTCGAGAAACATGATTCATGCAGTTTATCTCAAATTCAAAAATGTAAGTTTTTTGTATGTATGTGCATATAAAGTGCAAGTTTATTTTATCTTTGTTTTTGTGTGGCGACGATGGGAGGTCGCGAAGAGCAACAACGAAGCCGTTCGGCCAGCCGTCTCATTCGTCGAGGAAACGGCAATAACGGGCGGCAGCGGGGACAACGACAGCCGGCACTGGACGTCGACAATAAACAACAACCAATGTGCATTGCCAGTCCGATTTCTCAGTTTTATATTTCGTTTTGTATAATGTGTGTCATTTTGTTACATGTTCGCACTTACGTACGTGTTACGTTTGTTCGATTTTTTATCATTTGTTGATAAAGGTTTAATAACCCAAATTTGAGGGTATAAGGGCGATACGAGCAGACGAACCGAGCTCAAAGAATCGAAGGAGCCGACGGACCGTGTTCGCCAAAACGAAGTGAGGAAGGAGCCCAGGAGCTGCATTCGCCAATCAAAGGAGGACCGACGTATTGCGCCGAGTTAAGGAACTTGGGCTACTGTTACTAAAGGCCGTTCTGCCGCCCTATAACTATATTTATTTAGTGTAAATTCTTTGGACCGGGCAACCAGAAGAGCTATCGTGGCAAGGGACATCAAGCTGGGAGAAGTTACTACTGTCGACGACAGAGTATGCTGATACTGCCGGCTAGTTCTCAGAAGTTGTTACTAGAAACTTCAAAAAAGAAGGAAATAATTTTCTTTTTCTTTCGGAAGCGTGGGAACCAGAGCAGTGGATCAGTTCCGAGTATTGTATTGGTACTCACGATATTTGACTTTTCAAAAATGGCATACTAATCTGTGGCAACAAGAGGAAGTGACTAACGCTCATAGCAAGTAGGTCCAAGGATTACATTTACGTGGTCTTCATTGATAAGTTTGTAGATATAGCCTGCAGTAAGGGTACTCTCGCAATCGTCAAAGTACCACACATAGCTAAAAGGACACAAATCATATTTGAAAGTTTAAAAGTGCATCATACCTGGGGCAAGTATCACGTACGAGAAAGTACTTTTAGGGTTCACAGGACTCTTTTTATTTCACACAACAAATTAGTTCACTGCCAAAAAATGTGCTCTCGTTTTCAGGCATTGCCAAATCGCGTTAATTTTCAAGATACCTGCTATTCAGTTGTCATTATCAAATGTGTCTGCAGAACCTTAATTCACAAATGTTATCAAAGAATTTTCCGTTATTATTATTATTGTTATTGTTATTATTAAGAGCTGTATCGATGTAATCATTTAATTGGTAACTGACATGGTCATCATCATTATCACTGTCGTGATCAAAAAGATTCAAAACTCACAAAAAAAGAAAAGTTTAAGATCCGTTTCTCATAAACGACAATCGAATTTTATAGTCCAAGTTGTCGTTTTCTGGTAAGACCACCAGATACGGAGTTCAGTGCTTTTAGGGGCTTATATGCGTTTAACTGCTAGTAAGATCCCCTGGCAGGTCACAACTACTTCTTGAGAAGTATGGAGTATTTGCTAGCTGATCATCAGCTGGAGCACCTCCCCCTCCTCTTCCAAGAAAAAAAGAAAAAAATTGGAGAGAGGGATGAAACATATCGTAAATGAAAATGAACAAAGAAATTCAAGCAGGGGGCGAATGTCAGAGATGTCCACTTGGCAGAGTTTTGGTCACAGCAACCACGGAAATGTTATCCAGAGTGCTGAGGAAGCAACGGTATACCATGAAGCAAAATAAATAAATTCTCCGTACTCAATCAACGACATTTCAGAACCATTAAAGCCCTGTCAAATGATTCTATCAGAGCAAGTTGAATTGATGAGTGGAACATCGGGATCACCAGCAAAACTGACTAATAGGCAATGCAGCACAGACATAGGCGGATC